AAGCGCTTTGTGCTAAGTGGGTCTTAAAAAACAAACCCCAGAGCAGTCAGCTCTTATTTTTCCATCCTTTTAATTTGCATCCTGACTTTCAGCAACGGTCAATAAAAAAGTTGGACAGAGTACAGCCTTTTTTTTTTTCCTTTTTTTTTGTTTTTGTTTTGTTGATGTTTTATGGAAACAGCAAGTCAAAGCATCTTCCCGTGGCCGTGGGGAGCAGAGGAGCTGTCACAGGAGGTTTTGTCCACAGCCTCATCACCCCTTTCTGACCATGGTGGAGCGTGGTCTGTGGCTTGGAACCACCATCTCAGTTCTCCTTTCTTCTTAAATCCTGTTTTGAAGTAAAGCACATGTGTGTTTTTTATTTTATTACTTTATTTAATATTTTTTTTTCTCTTCTTACCAGCTGTTTGTGCAAAATCCCCACCGTGTCTCTGAGTGGGCACCTCCCCGGACCCCCCTGGACCTTCACATCTCCAACCATCACATGGTGGCAAGGTGAGACCCCTCCAAACCCTCCCCAGCCTTTCTCTTCCCCCCCTGACTTCCCTGCATTCTCCTTTCCCCTCCCACCAGCCTCCGGGAGGGATCTGCGACATGAAGTTTCCATTTGGAGCTGGCAAATTCCTGGTATGCCGATTTCTAGGAAACGTGGCTCGGGATCGTGCACTCGGTGAAACCCTACCATGTGTGATACCTGCCTGTCCTCAGCCCGGGGTCGCACATCTGCATCCCATTCCCCACCTCTGAATTTTCTCATATTTCTCCGGGCTGGAAGATCCTAACATCCATACGGAGAGAGGATTGTAAAAAGGAATGATTTGTTTTTATGGCGTGGATTTCCGCGTGGCGTGGGCCGGTGTCGTACGGCGGGCGTCCTCCTGGAGCAGCGTTTTCACGGCAAAGATCCTCGTTGGAAAGGCATGTGCGAAGGGGAAAGGGCTTTGAGATCCTCCCGTTTTGTCCCAGTTTTCCACGAGTGTGTCTGGCGTCGCTTGCAGACAGCCCGAAAAACGCTTGGGGCTCAGAGGATGATGAAGGTGGGGAAGACACCAGCCACTGCACAGCTTAAAAAGGGGGGAAAAAAAGCTTTTTGTCAAACCTGCTAGTAAAAAACCAGACGGAGAAAGCACAGAGTGCATTTTTCTGAAGCAGCAGCTGAATTAATATCTGCTTCCGTGGGAGCGATAAAAATCGGGATCAAAGCCGCGGGCGGCTTAACTGCTCACGGGCATCGATTGTGGCTTAATTGCTCGTGGGCATCCCTTGCACCTTCGTTTGCTGACGGGCATCGGTCGCAGCGATGCTTCTCTGCACCCGGAGGAGGCAAAATAATATTTGGGATGGCTCGTGGCAGCGCGCAGCAGGACGGCGTTGGAACAGTGGGTTCGCAAGGAGGAAGGATGGAGCTGCTGTCGCTTTTGGGAGATTCGAGGAGCTGGCGTCGGTTTGGCGGTGCCGAGAACGGGCGCACGTCGGTGCCGAGGGTTGGGGTGTGCCGGTGCGAGGGAAGCACAAATCCTGCACCTGTAGGAGTCTCCTGAACTCGCGACCCTCCTTGTTGGCTCAGCCAGAAGCTCTTTAACGTGTTTCGTACGAATTAGTGCTGGAATAGTTGCGTTTGAAGGAGGTGGTGTGTCCAGATGTCAAAACCTCTGGATTTTGAAGCTTGTTTATTAAACTCACGGCTGCAAGGCAGCCCCGTGCCCAGCCACGAGTGCCCGGGGGGTGCCCAGGGGCACGGACCAGACCCCGCCGTTGGGCTCGAAGCTCCAGCAGAGGCATTTTTGGGGGTTTACAGGCTCCTGCAAGGGACTTTCCTTCAGAATGAGAAGAATCGAGCTGGGCAAGACTGCCCCAAACTGGGCAAAAGTGCCCCAAAACGTGCAAAAGCGCCCCGTCGTCCACGTGCACCTTTCCTGGGGCGCGCTGGGTTTCTTTAATCACCTTCCCGTCGCTTTTATCCTCTGCGTGTGGAAGTTCCTGCCGTCATTTACAGACTCCCAACGTGAAGTTTGTGGGTAACAGCAGCGGGAGAGCGGGATCTGCTCGGGGTGTCGGAAACCCCCGGAGGCTTTTGCACGGGGGCAATTCCTGAATCCCCTCCCTGTATCCGGAGCACACGTCGTCCCGCAGAGGGAAGGTTCGGGCTCCGACACCTCCAGCAGTCTTGCACGGCTCTCGGTGACAGTCCCCGGCTCCCTGGTGGTTAAATCTTGGGGTGTAGCAGATATTTGTTTGGGTTTTTTTTCCCTTACGACTCTTTGCTTCAAATTAATTGGGATTTTGGACCCCGGCCAGGCTCCTTCTGTCGCTCCAAACCGGAGATAAGTGGGAGCGGCGCGGTCTTTGCTCTAACCTAGTTGGAGCCGTGTTCGCTGGACGGAGGAGTCTCGAGCTCTTTCATAACGTGGACCACATCTTCATAGTCGGTCTTGCGGGCTCCATCCCTCCCACTGCTGCTGACGCAGAGCGTCTCCCCTCCCGCTCGCCTTGGCCAGCTTCCCTGGATGACTCCGCTAATTGCTTACGTAGGAAAAATAACGAGAAGGACGCGTAGGATGTATTTTTAGATGTCTCTTGGTGGGATTTAGCAACCGGCGAGCCAGAGCCAGCACCTCCCCATGTGTCTTCTGCATCCGAGCGGTGGCTGCTTGGTGGATCTGAGGAGGTTCTGCCCCAGGTGGTGGCACTTCTTTTGCAAGTTGCTCCCCTTTTTTTTGGGCTCCTCCTGGTCTTTAATAAATGGGTTATGGATGCTGCATCCTTGGTGCTGCACAGGGTCGTTGTTGGGAAGCCCTAAGCCAGCATGCGGTGCCGGTGGCATGCCCGTGCCGTGATGGACACCACCGCCTCCTTGCTCATCTCCAAGAGGATGGCCATGGAGGTGGCAGGGCAGTGTGGACCGCGGTGGCTTGGAGACCATCTGAGTGCCCGAATCATAGCGTCATAGGATGGTTTGGGTTGGAAGGGACCTTTTAAGGTCATGTAGTCCAACTGCCCAGCCATGAGCAGGGACATCTTCAACGAGATCAAGTTGCTCAGAACCCCATCCAACCTGACCTTGAATGTTTCCAGGGACGGGGCATCCACCACCTCTCTGGGCAGCCTGTGCCAGTGTTTCACCAGCCTCATCATAACAAATTTCTTCCGAAGTAACGGGTGGCATGTTTTCCAACGTATAAATACTCATGAGATGATGAGTCTCGTCACCAAAGTCACTTTTTTATAGTATTTTTTTCAGGTGTTCCCATCTGAAACCTCAGCAGAGCAGGGGAAAGGGAGCAGACACAAAATCTCGTTAAACATTACCCCAAAGGCTGGGATAATTGAGCATCACAGCAAGTAGTTCCCTTATTTTTCTATTTGCTTCTTCCATTGCAGGGCTCTTTGTGTCTCGGTGGTTTCCTGTGCCGGGGAGGAGGGGCCGGGCTCCAGCTCTTCCCTTTCCACCCGGGTGCGAGGAGCTCAATTCTTCTTGCAGCGCGACTTTATCTGCCCTTGGAGCTGAAAACATCCTTTCTTTGCTCTTTTCGAGTGCCCCGAATGAATGATTCCTCCCGCTGGTTAACGTCAGCTTCCACACCAAAGGCTGTGGGAAAGTTTCGCAATGAGGAGTGACTTTAATAGATCTGGTTTATGTCTTCAAAAACCCATCGCTTTCTAATTCTCCGTCACATGTTTCCTTGATTACGTGTCGCGCAGCGCTACCGAAATAGCCTTACGGTCTGAAGGAAATCATCAGGAAATAATGTTATTTGAACCGTTGGCAAGTCTCTTTGCACCAGGCAGCGTTGGAAAAAGGCTGCGCTTGACCGAAAAACGTGGCTTTTCCGCTCGCGCGGTGCCGCTGGGAGCGTGGCGCTGCAGCTGTTTGCTCAAAAAAAAGCCCTCTGATTTCTTAAAGTATTGCTTTGAATTTTCTCTTTGTCCACCCAGATAGTTGGGATTCTTTTGGAGTTGGGTTTTCTTTAGTTTTTGGAGAAGATGCTTGATGTGCGTTCAGGTCTTCCCACGCGGAGTGATGCTTCGCTTGCCTGAGGCTTGGAGCTTGGTGTCTCGTTTTGGGGTGTTCTTGGTGGGCGAGAGAAGGTTGAGGTGCTGCTTTCCGAATAACAGAGGCTCTGACAAATAGGTGATTCCTTGTGGAAAATAGTCTTGAACTGTATAAACTAACTCAAAAGACAGAGGCTAACCTGGTGCACGTATTTCTAGCACCCGTTCCCAAGGGGTGCCCACCTCTACGTGAGCCAGAAGGTATGGGTGAAGCTTGGTAGCCATCAGCCCTTTGCTTCTTGCCCATAAGCATGTTTGTCTCTCCTGGCTTTGTTTGTCTCTCCTGGCTTTGTTTGTCTCTCCTGGTTTTGTTCGTCTCTCCTGGCTTCGCTGCTGCCCTTGATGTTTCCCGGTGTAGGAGCTTCAACACTGATCCTGCATCAAAATGGGTGTGCTCAGTAGAGCATCACCGGCAGAAAGTGCCGGTGGTTTGGGTGCAGCGCCCCGAGATGGGTTTCCAGGAGATGAGTTTCCATCTCCATTTTCCATGAGAAGAAGTTCTGGCCTGGTGTCAGGAGCGGGTCGGCTGGCACCTGCATTACCTGCCGGTGCTTTTTTGGGTAGAACTCTGGTTGGAGGAGCTTCCTGGGGCAATGCCAGGGGTGCAGCGTTGACCCAGGGAGGCTGAAGATGA